CCTTGGCATGCGCACTCCTCTGCTTTTTTGAGAGATGTTCATAATGGACTTTTACAGTCAAACACTCACACATCATACCACTCTCCCCATTCAATGAATTAAAGAACATAGTGTCAAGTTCAAGTGTTTTTGAGATAGAACTATAGAGGACTGTCTTAGGGTTTTACTGCTTTGAACAGACATCATCACCAAGGCAACTCTTCCAAAAGAACTATTTAATTGAGGCTGGCTTACAGGTTCTGAGATTCAGTCCATTATCATCAAGGCAGGCATGGTGCTAGAGGAACTGAGAGTTCTACATCTTCATCCTAAACGAGGAAGGAGAAGATTGCTCTCCTGGTAGCTAAAACAAAGGTCTTAAAGCCCATGCCCACGGTGACACACCTCCTCCAACAAGGCCACACCTCCAAATAGTGTGACTCCCTGGTACAAGCATATTCAAACTACCACAAAGACTTATCTGGGATTTTTTGAGCCATAATGACACTCTTCAAATCTAATGGTGCTGCTAGCCATCTTTCTAGTCTGTCAAAGGGCCAAGGGTACATATTCAAATAACATTTATTTTAGAGGCTAAGAATTACTGCAAAGTCCTTAGGAAAACCTTCTGATTTCACAGCAAGTATTAATCAACTTATACAGAGATCTGTTTTATTATAATACTATTTGCATAAACATGAAAAATCATCAGTGATCTTTTCTTGCATTTCCATTTGAATGACAAATGAGTCCCTTTCCATGTTATAATACTAGCTTTTATTTTAAGGCAAGTTTTCCATATTCCTATCAGCTGCTGCTGCTGCTTCTTCTTCTTCTTCTTCTTCTCCTTCTCCTTCTCCTTCTCCTTCTCCTTCTCCTTCTCCTTCTCCTTCTTCTTCTTCTTCTTTTTGGTTTTTCGAGACAAGGTTTTTCTGTATAGCCCTGGCTGTCCTGGAACTCACTCTGTAGACCAGGTTGGCCTCGAACTCAGAAATCTGCCTGCCTCTGCCTAAAGGCATGTGCCACCACTGCCCGGTGCTGTTCCTATTTTCATAGCTATTCGACTGCCCCCTTTGAAAGCATGTATTTTATCTTATGATTAGAAGAAACTCAATATTTATGGAATGAAAGAACAAATGAACGAGTTATTCTTGCCCTCCTCAGCCATAGCACGCTTCACTTTCTATCACACCAAGTGTAAACTACCTGGTTTGATATGCAGTGCTCATAAAAAAAATGCCAATCATTGCCTGCCAGTGACCACAGCAGATTTGTGAGCCTGGCCCTTTGTAAGCACTGATCCACTAGATCTCCAAACTGAGAACTTCAAATCCAGGAAGTCTTAGACGGAAATATGCACAACACTCTCTGCCCAGAGATTGTCTCCCTCTTGTCCTGGATTTCCTACTTTCCAACATAAGCTTTCCAGTTAGACAGATTCCTTTACCCACCGTATCCTTTCTTCCTTCTGGTGAGCTTTCCTGACTTTCCCATCTTTTTCTTAATTAGCTTTTAATGTTCAAGTTTAGGCATATCCATTGACATAAGGCTCTGGGTGCCACTGACATTTCAGTTACTAAAATCATGTTCTTCCTTGGACGTGGTGGCAAATGTCAGTAGCCTTGCTTATTCAGATACTAAGGCAGGGGGACTGTTTAAATGTGCAGAAGTTTGTGACAGTCGTCTGAGCAATACAAAGAAACCCTCCCCCATACCCTCTAAAAAGATATGCCTGCAGAACTCTCAAGCAATATATGCCATACTCCTACAAGGGGAATATCAATGGCTCAAAGGGGTTCGTGAAATTCTGGTTATTGTTCAACCTTTTATATCATTTGAATACAGCAGACTCTACATAGAAGCTGGTTTGTTGTGTAAGGCCTGAGTCCTACCCCCAGGAATGAGTACACACACACACACACACACACACACACACACACACACACGGTACTTGTTTTGTTTTTATTTTATAAAAGGAGGCAATCACTTTATCAAAAAGAAACCTGATGAACAGGATCTTAAACAAACGTGGCTCCAGTTACCCTTGCAAAAATGTAACAAGATAAGGACACACATCATTTGCATTAATTATGCCTCTAGGAAACCTGGAAAAAAAAGACAAAACAAACAAACAAAGCCCCCACCACCACCACCAGATCAAGTTACTCCTAGAAAATGAAGGACAAAGAAAGGCAAAAATAAAGTGAAACTAAAAACTAAACAAAGAAAGAAAGAACAGAGAAAGGCAAAATCAAAGGGCTCCATGTTGGCTGGTGGTGACTTGATGAGGAAACTGCCTTGAGGCCAGGTGCTGTTGCTCTTGGTGAGAGTGCCTTGCCAAAGCACACACAAGGCCCACAAGCCCACACCCAGTACACGAAGACAAATAGGAAGCCAGGATGGGGTCTGTATCAAAGCTCATTGAGATGAAAGGATACTGGGGATTTGTTGAAATTGGAAAAAAAAGGACTGTAAATGTTTAAAGAATTTTACCTAAGGACCGGAGAGATGGCCCAGTAGTTAAGAGCACTGGTTGCTCTTCCAGGGGTCCTAAGTTCAATTCTGAGCAACCACATGGTGGCTCACAACCATCTGCAATGGCATCCCATGCCCTCTTCTGTTGTGTCTGAAGATAACAATGTACTCATATACGGAAAAATAAATTTTAAAAATCTTTTAAAACAAAAAATAGAATTCTATCTAAGCTGGGCATGGTGGCACACACCTTACAGTGCTTGGAAGGCAGAGGTAAGCAGATCTGTGTGAGTTCAAGGCTAGCCTAGTATTCATAGTGACATCCAGGTTAGCCAGAACTACACGAAGTAAGATTGTGTCTCAACAAACAAACATACCAGAATTTTACCTTAATGTTAAATGTCTATACTTAATATCTCTACAGTGAGTAATCTGGTAATTCCTTCCACTTGGGAAATAACAGGAGGGAAAATGGAGCATGATATATGCAGTAGTTTTTCAAATGCTTCAGAAAAAACCTCTATATAATGTGGCAAATTGATCAAAATGTTAATATTTGAGCATCTGAGGAAAAGGTAAGTGGGAGATAGTTAACTTTTGTCCATGTCTGACATTTTTCTCAGTAAGCTAATAGTAGTTTGAATACAAATATTGATGTTGGGCTTATTTAAGTTTGAAAAATAAAAAAGTGAAAGCAGCTAATTGAAGGAAAAAAGCCTGGAAAAATAACAATGTTAGAAGCTGATAGCAGCCAGGCAGTTGTGGTGGAATACCAGGAATAGCAAGGACTGGAGAGATGGCTCAGTGGCTAAGAGCACTGACTGCTCTTCCAGAGGATTAGAGTTCAATTTCCACATGGTGGCTAATACTTTCTGTAACTCCAGATGGAGGGAATCTGAGGTCTTCCACAGGCACTAAACATACAAGTGTCACACAGACATAGACATACATGCATATAAAATAATAATAATTTATAATTTTTAATGAAAAGGAGAATAGTATATCATATAAGTGTGAGATGAAAACAGAAAACTAATGACATAAAAAAAATGAGCTGAGCAATGGTGACCCCCAAGTTCCTCTTTATTTACCTCATTATATGGCATAATAGAAAACATATAGGAAAGAACATTCTAGACTGCAGCTGAAAAATCTTAGAGTTTCTTAATCTCTCTGTGTCTCCGTTTCCTTATTTGTAACATGGAGATATTAATAGCATCTACCTCATACCTTAGCTTTGTTGTGAAGCTAAAACAAGACAAAATATGTAGAGCATCCATTCCAGGCATGGTAGGAGACTAGTACACAGTAATGTCATAACTATGTCTCCTCACCCTAAATCTAAGTGGAGGGCATGGTCTGCCCAGGTTGCCAGGGAAACAAAAACCAGAGAACCCTACCCTTCCTCTCATTCAGTTCCTATTCATTCATTTGGGAAGTGTTTGCAACAACTGATCCTCCTAATCCTTCTACTTCTTACTAGACAGGTTGGGTCATCCCTTGAATTTTTTCTAGACTCCAAGGAGGAGAGCATGGGATACCAAATTCGCCTCCTCATTTCTTGTTCTTCTTGTTCTTCTTCTTGTTCTTCTTCTTGTTCTTCTTCTTGTTCTTCTTCTTGTTCTTCTTCTTGTTCTTCTTCTTGTTCTTCTTCTTGTTCTTCTTCTTGTTCTTCTTCTTGTTCTTCTTCTTCTTCTTGTTCTTCTTCTTGTTGTTGTTGTTCTTCTTCTTCTTCTTCTTCTTCTTCTTCTTCTTCTTCTTCTTCTTCTTCTTCTTCTTCTTC